AGTCACATATCAGAAATCCCTCCTTCCCACCCACGATCACCCTGTGTTGTGGTAGGAGGAGGGCCTTTCCAGTCTTTTGCCTGGGGCCCTGCCAACCCTCAAGCTGTGGTTTTCTGAGTCTTGTTGCTGTAGTGTGGCTGTTTCCCACACCCGGCAAAGCAGCGGGAGGCAGGGATGTGTTGAGCAGGTCAGTAGAGTCATGCCTTCCCATTCCCTTGCTCCAAGCACACTCAGCATGGCAGACAGTCACCACCATACCTGCGTTGTTAGTAGTGTCTTGTATCTGAGCATCTTGGGTCTCGTGAAGGAGCTTCATTTCATTCTTCTGTGCTTTTAGGCATGGTTATCAAAACTAATCCCAATCGTTTGTGATTGGTGGAGTTGCAGGATTGAGGCCAGGACGGGGAAGGAAGCCAATGCCTGCCGCTGATCTAAACACAGTCACTTACAGGTCTGCTTTTAGCAGAGCTCAGTGTTCTCCTGGGCTGCTTCTTACAGAAGCAATTGCTTTAACCCATTCCAGTTAACGTCAGCTTTGGTGAGGTGTCTAGAGACTTATGTCCATTACTGAGTCTTTAACATTTCATGTCCAGCTAGTATGTCACCTTACACGGTGGTGATCACTTCATAGGCCACTGAGTGTCTAAGGGTGTGGTCACCAAACCACAAGTCATATCCTTTTACTGTCCTTGGAATGTATAACTGCTTCCTGAAATATAGCCCATGCCTTTGTGTTAAGCAAGCTTGAATCTGTGTAGACTGAGAATCAGTTAAGTTAGGATTACAATTGACTACACGTTACAGCTAACCTCTCCCTAACCAATAAATGAGTTAGGTGCATTAGGGAGTTTTTCCCCATATAATTAGAAATCTGTGGAAATAGGCTCTTCCAGACACCATGGTGCCATCAGAAACCCATGCTCTTTCTTCTCCATCTTTAGCACGCTTTATTAACTGTGTTCATCCTGCCCCCATCTCCCTCTGGCAGGTAACCCACGCTAGAGGGAAGCAGAGCAGTGCCAGCTCTGCCTGTAAACCAGCTGTCTGTCTGTTCTGAAAGAACTGTCCTCAAACCACCCCTGGGAACTTCTGTTTAGATCTCATTGGCCAGAACTGTGAATGTGCTTATCTTAGGTAGAAGAGAAATAGGAAATGTAATTTTTAAAGATGTTTTAAGGTAAGCACACATTATTCAGACAGAATCTGAGTAGTTTACTAGAAAGACAGAGAGGAATGGTACTGTCCAGGCCAGCTGAACCTCCTAGGAATTTCTCCACACCTGCTGCAGTTTTGCTCTTTGGGGGACTTTGCGCAAAATTTGCATTTTGGAAAGTAAACTTCCTTTCGTTTGGGATCTGCGGAGGACTTGTTTAGACTTTGACTATGAACTGGATGTAAATAGCACACACTCTAGGTACTAAAATAGAGAAAAGGGCCCTACCCCAATGTTATATCTGTATGTAAATACACATGCCTGTCTTCTGTTGTTACAAAAAAAAAAACCCAGTTACCTTAAAAAAAAAAGAATAGCTGATATAGCCCTCTGTGTGTGTGTGTGTATTCTTCATTTGTAGTGTATATGTTTATTAAGCATAAGGCACTCTGAAAGGCACTCTGGGTACAACAGACATTAACTGTGGGGACTTGGGAGATGGTTCAGTGAGTAAGGTATTTGCTGTACAAGTATGGGATCCTGAGTTCACACCCCTAGTACCTGTCTAAAGACAAGCTTGCACCCAAAATTGACTTCCAGGCTCCTCACAAACTCTCTCACACATATTTCCTCTGAAAAACTTTTTTTCCCTAAATAGGGTCTCACACAGTAGCCCTGGCTGTCCTATAACTCACTCTGTAGACCATGCTGGCCTCAAACTAAGAGATCTGCCTGCCTCTGCCTCCCAAGGGCTGGGATGAAAGGCATGCGCCACCAACACCACTGACCACCTGAAAAACTTTTAAGTACAAGCAATAAAAAAAAGAAAAAATTGATCAAATCCAGTCAATTCCATGTGTACTGTCTAGAAAACAGGAAAGCTATGTTTGTAAATGGCCGCCATACATGGTAGGATGGACTAACCCTAGTAAGAGCCACAGATACATGCTTATAAATGTTCAGAAGAGGAAAGATTATTTCTGCCAGAAAGAATCGAGTAAGTATGATCTGAGAACCTAAACATATGTTTTCATTTTAAGAGTTTGCGTTCCCAGCTAGTGAGCATCACCATAAGACCAGAAAAATATGTTGGAAAAATGCATAACCAACTACCATTAGCAGAGGATTACAGATAGTTGGGATTGTGCTCTTGGGTTCCTCCACAAACTGAGGGTGAGGCTTGGGAAGGAATGAACGTGTGTTGAGTGTCAGTTTGTGTGCTTGTGTACGTGTGCTGCTTTGGGTAATTTCCAGGCCCTTTGTTAAATGTCTGGACTGGAATGATCTGTGTGGTCTTCATTCACCCTCCAACAGTCCAGCAAAGCAGCTGCAACTGCCTATGAGACAAGTAAAGCTCAGAGGGGTTAAGTAGCTGGAAGTGGTTGCCCATTAATGAACATCAGAATAGCATTTGAGCCCAGGCACAAATGAGAAAAAGCCACCTTCTTTCCCACTGTCGCTAGGTCTGTCTGTCTTTGACTGTGACCTAATCTGGTCCCACAGCCAGATTGGCCAGTTTGAAAACACTCAGATTCCCTACCTTAGAAATCTCTGTTGAGTCACCAGATGACTCCACGCAATACTCCTCAGCTCAGTCCTTCTCATATCTCCCTAGCCAGACTTTGGGACTCAGTTCCCAAAAATGGACGTCCCAAAGTCAGAGAACAGAGAATTGCTAGACATTTTCCCACAGCCTCTCAATTCATCTTTAAAAAAGAAACATAATTTTTTATTGATTCTTTGGGAATTTCATATCATGTACCACAATCCCTCCATATCTGCCCTTTAACCTTAAAACCAAATAATAAAAAACTGGAAAAATAACAATGTTAATGAAGGGGCTAGAGAGATAGCTTGGTGGTTAAGAGCATTGACGACTCTTCCAGGGGACCCAGGTTCAATTCCCAGCGCCCACGTGGCAGCTCACAACTGTAACTCCAGTTCTAGTGGATCTGTCACCCTCACACAGACACACATGCAGACAAAACACCAATACATATAAAATGCAAATAGATTTATTGTTTTTTAAAAAATAATAACTAAAAAAACAAATGAAAAATGAAAAAAAAGCAGACAACAACAACAAAAAAAAAGTCACTTTACTCCTCCATCTTTCCTACCTCTTCATTTGTCTCAGTGGCATTGGAAGCTGCTATGTATCATGCAGCATTTCCCTTTGTTCAAACAGCTTCACTTGTAAATGTTCACTGTGTAATGTGTTGTTGGTCAAGTTCAAGGCCTCTGGCTTCTGGTACACCATCAATACTTGACCTTCACTGAAACTCCTCCCAGAGATCCTGCTGGAAATTACCCAAAGCAGCACATGTGCACATGCACAGAAACTGACACACAAGGGGCCAGTCCCCTCACTGGCTCCAACAGGTCACAGTTGGGGTATATGTTGAGAAGTGCCAACTCAAAGCCCTGGATGTGTGCCTGGGTGGTAATCAAGTCAGTCTAGGCTCCTGGAACCACTCCTCTCTGGTGAGGGGTGGTGTCAGCTCTCCTGTGCTGTGGTCATCCAGATCCATTATCTCAGAACCAGTGAGGGGTGGGGTCAGCTCCCTGGTTGGGGAGAAGGACTCTCCCCTGGTCAGTGAAAGGCGGGGCCTGCTCAGCACATCCTTGGTGCTTCAACACATGTTTCAACACTTGGTTCTCTTGGGCCCCTGTGGTAACATGGCCAATGGTCATCAATTGCTGCTTCAGGACCACAGACCCAGACATGGCCATCAACAGCAGCATGGTTCCTGGACTCCAACTGGCCCCAAGTGGTGGCCCAGACCCTAAGCAGTACCACAGCCTTCATTAGGATTGCCTTACAATGTGACAACCCAAGTTTGAATTCCAAGAACCCACATAAATGCCAGTAGGAGTGGTAGCCAGCTTGTAATTCAACCTCAGAAGGCAGAGACAAGGGGATCATGGAACAAGCTGGCTAGTAATACTAGCATATCACTGACTCTGGATTTAAGAGACCCTGACTCAGTGAATAAAATGGAAGAAGCATCAACCCTGAGTCCCACCATCAACCTCAGGTCTCCACATGCACATAAACACACACACACACACACACACACACACACACACACACACGCATACATGGGTATCACACACAAACATAAAAGTGGAAAAAGAAAAAATATTGCTAAGCATCCATTTGGAAGAAATGTGCCTTCGTGTCCTACAGATTGTGTGGTTTTCACTATGCTTAGGTGGTGTTCTGGGCTTTATAGGCCCACCTCTTGCAGAAGGTACCCAGTGTCAGTCATGTATTCACTGGGTGATGTGTTCTTATAGTAAACTTATTGTAAGTGTTGTCAAATGTTACATTTTACATTAAACTTTAGTTCATTGAGGTGCTGGGATTCTGAAACTAACCCTCAAGGTCAGGCATAGCTTGGCTCCTAGTTTCTGTCCCTGCCTGGTTTCCCCAACTGGTTGTGCAGGGTGCCCTTGTCACATGGGCATCCTTGTTTACCTCCAGATCACAGTATTGAAGTAGTCTAGTATCCCAGCCCTGTTTCCAGGCCATTTTCTCTGACTAGGAGGACATTCATTAAGCACTCTTTGAATTGAGCAGTGAAGGGAACTAAGCTGAGAGACCAAAAGCTTTTCTCATTCATGTGTGTTGACTAGCGCCTCAATTCCTGAGTCAGGGGGTTTTCAAAAGCCCCTGGCAACTCTTCTTTGAGAGACCCTTCTCTGAATCAAGATCTGTCCTGGCAACCTTAGGGAACTTTCTCCTAACACTTAACAGTTTCCCTTCCTCTTTGCCCCTCTTCAGGATGACAGCGGTGATGAAGAAGCTCTCCATTGATCATTTTCTTTTCTTTTTTTCTTATAGGCAATCTTTGGCAGCCAGACACTACCTAACTCCAGTTTATGGACAATGAATAATGGTGCAGGCTGTAGAATTTCAAGTGCCACAGCTGGTGGCCAGAAGCCAAACACCCTGTCACAAAAAGTGGTGCCACCTCCAAGTTCCTCCACCTTGATCTCCAAGCCCCCATCCAAACAAGTGCTCAGAAAGGCAACATCCCAGAGGGCTTCCAAGTAAGTTTTCTGTAACGGTATGTGCAATTTCCAATGTTGTATCAGTTCTAAGCTAACAGCACTCTTTAGAAAGCCTTCTAGACCATTTGAATTGAAATCACACCTGTATGCAGCCAAACTTGGGACTCCGCCATGGTTGCAAATTGGAATCACCTGGGAGGAATTGAAGTATTAAGTATCTGGGCTCTACCCTGTGGGAGGGGCAGCCACTGTGCTTTTAGGCTCCCTGGGAATTGTGATGAAGTATCTACAAGGTTATTTATTGCTAACCAACTCTGCCAGCCTCTGACAGGAGTTACAGAGAGTACACTAGATAATGGTCTTGATCTGTTGGCTTGGAGGAAGGAGGCTCAAAAGGCCTCCCTCCCTCCCTGTGGATCTCCTCTGGCTTACTCCAAAGAATTCGATTCTTTTAATTTCTTGTCAAATTCAGTCCTCCTCTTCCCCTCATTTGCATTTGTGTTTAGGCAATTAACGTCATCAGCACTGATCAAAGAACTGTGCAGCAATGGTGTTTCTGATGCTTTTTGTAGGCCACCTGTTTTATACTAAATAGGATACCTACGACTATTTATTTATGTATCGCTCTTTCTCATTAGGACGCCCTACTCGGCTGTCCTTCACAAGCTCAATTTTGGTTGTCAGAAACTCAGAACGTGTTGTTACTGCTTTCTCCCCCTGTGGAGGGCGAATCAAATTGTGGATTTGAGTCCGAACAGTCCCCTGTGGCTCTCTTAATCATATCGCTGTCATTATTCATTTACCCAACAAATATTTCCTCGGTACCTGCTGAGCACTGAAGAGCAGGAGCGTGGGCACTGCAGTGACCTCATGCTCCCTGGAAGGCTACAGGTGAATGCTGGTGCAAAGACAGAGAAGCTGTGTGCTCCTCCTGCCCTGAACCCCAGAAAGTAGTCAAATCCTGAAGAGTGCAGCCCCTGTATGCAGCCTACCGAGCCCCCACCCCATTACACATTGAGAGAGTTACTCAATCTCTTGCCCTTGGGTCTCTGCATTTGTAATAATAGGGCAGTAATCACCTGCTTCACAGGTAAGTGCATAAGCAGGAACGAAGTGAGCAGTGTCACCCTCTGATGGATGCTTAAGATACTCTGCAGCTCTGAGAAGCTCACAGCTAACCATTTGAAAGCAAATGTTGAAGCTGCTGATACAATCCTTGTGGACTCTCCTGCATGGGCCTCGAGGGCTGGGTGGTGCTGGTGAAGAGCTGGACTTGGGTGGCAGGGCTGGAAATTTGAAGGCTGCCCTCAACTTGCTGCTGGCCGGGAAGCCCTGCAGACTCCCGAGATGGAATTGCAGTTCTTTGGGCAAATTCTGCTTTGCTGAATTTTTGTGGTTTCTTCTTTGTGACAGGCAGGAGTGTGGGAAAACCGGAAACAGCTCAGCATCAAAAATGCACAGAAGGGGGGAAAGCAAAGATTTCTTCAGAATTTAAGAAATATAATCCAAGTATCAGAAGGCATGCTGTGAGGCGCTGTTCCAGCAAATAGTTTCCAATTTGCCTTTAAAAGTAGCATAAGTCTGTGGGACTAAGTTAGCACTAATGGAGATTTTAATATTCTCTCACATGTGGAATACCCAGTGTTATGGGGGCCCCATAGATATATTCTATTATCATCATCATCATTATTGTGGGGGTAGCTGGGGAGAGGAGAGAATGGACCCACATATACTATGGTACACATTTGGCGGTTAGAGAAAAACTTTGGGGAGCCAATGCTGTCCTGCCACCGTGGGTTCCAGAAACTGAACTCGGGTCATCAGGCTTGCATAACAAGAGTTTTTATGAGCTGAGCTCTCTTCTCACTTAAAAAAAAGTAATGTAGGAGTTTTGTTGTTGTTGTTGTTTATTTGTGGTTTTGCTTTCCTGAGCTGACTCAATGAATTACATTAATTTTAGACTTAGCAAAAAAAAAGTTACAGGGTCAGCACAGACAGTCCCAAGGTACCCACCAGCTTTGCTCACTGTTACCATAGTTCCCGTATGTAAGCTTAGGTCATTCTGAATCTGAAAGTACTCCAGACAGTGAAGCTGCGACCAATGCAGTATTGTAAGCTAAACGTTATATTTTATTTGGATCCGTGCAATCTTTTTTGTTTGTTGTTGTTCTTCCAGACAAGCAGTGCAGTTTTTTTAATCCACAGAAGTTTTCATGGCTCCTGGAGTCAGAATCTTGAGCATCATTCAGGCCACCTTCCTCTTCTAGAGCGATTCTTGTTTCTGGCCAATCTACAACTTACTCACAGCTCTGTGATTCAGTTTCCTACCTTAAAATCGGAATAATGACAGTAGTCCCTGGATAAAGGGATCATGACGAGAAATGGATTCAGAAATGCTGAACTCAAATACAGCATTGCTACATAATACATGCTAAATAAGGCTTATGTGTTGATATGGTTGACAATGAGATGACAGTCCAGAAAATTTCATGTAACTTTTTACTGTATTGGTGAAAGACGTGTTGCTTCGTTTGTTCCCATCTTGTTATAGCCTTCATTCTGGCTCACTTATATTACCCAAGAGCTGTCCTTTCTGACTGGTGGGACTGAGTCACGCCCAAGAATGCCACCGTTGCCCCAAGAGACACAGCTAATGAGAAGCTGTAATGAGCGTTTCACCATGCCAAGCCCTGTGCTTTTGGGTTGAACTTCAAGCTTCTCCTAGCACAGAGGTTGGCATCAGTCAGGCAGAAGCAATTTCCAAGAGCATCATCAAAGTTTCCACATCCTAGAGGTTGAGTCTGGAGAACAATAGAACATAAAAGATGGAATGTCATTTGGATTTGGGTGCAAAGGGAGTTGAAAATCAAAACATTGGGGTCCTGTTTCATTATGATAATATTCAAGTCTTTTTCCCATGTGTAAAACAAAACCTGCTGCCCCTCCTGAATGATTCGACACAATAGCTTGTTTTCTGTTGATGCCGTTGACAGCTTCTTTATGAGTGCAGTTGTGTTTAGTCTCACTTCACAGCCTTTTTTCTGGTCCCCTCTTGGTCCAGCAGCTCTTGTTATCGTTCACAAATTCATATACCCCAACTCTACTTAAGAGTAACTTGTCAGTTCTGTGAAGAAAGTGGACGTTTCTTCCTTCTTTCCCTTCCCTTTACTTTTTTTTTTGGGGGGGGGGGTTTGAGACAGGGTTTCTCTGTATTGTTTTGGAGGCTGTCTTAGAACTCACTCTGTAGCCCTGGCTGTCCTAAACTCCCACTGTGGACCAGGCTGGCCTCGAACTCACAGAGATCCGCCTGCCTCTGCCTCCTGAGAGCTGGGATTAAAGGCGTGCGCCACCAACACCCAGCTCCCCTTACTTATTTCTAACCATTTACATAGGCCCAGTCACCTTTCTTAATTCTCCTCCAGCACTTGAGACACTTCATAACCCAGTGTCCACCTCTCCTCCTCCTTTGTGGCATTTCTTCTACAAAGTAACTGAAGAAAAGGGTTGATGGCTGTGAACAACCAGATGCATCCGAACTGTTCTTTCCTTAAGAGCCAGGATCACATGTATTTCCCCAGAAATATGGGAAAAGAAACCCCAGGAGGTTAAAGGTTGACAAAGGCTTATAATGGGTTTGAATGAACGAGATCAAAGTGATTGTAACTTGGGGAGATTCTCCTAAGAAAGTAAGGGAAGTGGGGGGTTCAGTGGTGGAGCAGTTATGTGGCCCTGAGATCCTAGAGGAGAGAAGAGGAGAGGGGGTGGGGAAGGGCAGGAAAAAGAGGAGAGGAGAAGGATGACAAAGAGCAAACTACCGTATTTAAGTCACGCTGCCTAAAGTGACCTTTTGATTTTTTGGGTTTTTTTTTTTGGTTTGTTTGTTTTGTTTTGTTTTTTGAGACAGGGCTTCTTCCTCCCAAGTACTGGGATTAAAGGTGTGTGTCAACACGCCCAACCTTAGTGGGAATTTTTAAAGGTAACGAACTGGTGTCCTGTGCCAGCACCTAGGATAGTCATGTTTGTTAAAGACTTTGGGATTAGGAGGAGGAAAGTATCAAGAGCTAAGCAGCTCGGTCAAACCAAGTATCTGCAAATGCCCCAGTCATTTTCGGAAGTTGGCAGTCTTATGTAACCTGTTCCAGCAATAAATGTCAGAAGAACATAAAAATAAATATCCATTCAGACACATGCTTGTGAATTACAGGTGTTTCTTACGTGAGTCATTGTAAAGAGAAGATTCTAAGGAAAGTACTCAGGAGTTGTAACAGTCCAAACCTTCTTGTTGTGGGTATGGCTGATATTGTGCTATAGATTAACCATCACCTGTCCATCTTTCAGTCTTTTATTATGGTTTGAAGGAACACAGTTGAGTTTGTTGTATATCCATTCTATATGGGGAGGACTAAATGTATTTCTAAAGTGGTCATTATAGTTAGTAGTTGTGAAGTTTTCATGCTGGGAGGTAGAGGAATGGGGCGTAATAGGAGCTATAGGTGTAGGAGGGTACACAGGTGCCAGCCAGAACTGGCCCTCTTAGCACCCAGCATGCTAACCGCAGACTTCCCAGCAGACCACTCACTTCAGAAGTCCCTACCACTCCTCTTAAATTGCATGTGTACAGCAAATGCAGATTAATCATCCTAAAATACTGCACTCAGGAACTAGACCTCTTCCTTTCCTTGCCAGTTTTACCACTTAAGTGGCCGGTGAAGCACTCGAGAGGAGGAAAGAGTGATGCCACTCTGATGCAGAGTGACGGGGAATTCCTGCTAGGTGCTACCCAGGAAGGACTGGGTTGAAGAACAACATTGAAGGCTTTTATATGGCTTCCAGTGCAGTCTGGGAAATGAGTGGAAGGCTGGAACACTCCCACATGGCCCCCACTCACTCAGGGACAGAGCCTGGACCTAGAAGAAGTAAATAGTCAGGAGGATAGAGTCTCCTATCTTGTCTCTGTTGCCCTCATCACTTGGGCCTGAGTAGTGGCCTGGGAGGGCTTCGGTTTTGCTTTTGGTGTGGACATCAGAGAGACAGGCTAG